CAACAACAGTAACAACAACTACAGCAACAACAACAACTACAGCAACAACAACAACTAAAGCAACAACAACAACAACAACAACTACAACAAATATCGGTTTAGTTTTTGTTTGTTTGTTTGTATCGTTTGTTTTGCGAGTTCGTTAATAAAAAAAAAATTAACGGATTTTCTTTCATTAAAGGTCGTAAACGAATTGTCAAAAATGACGTCATAAAAATTTTTTCTCCAGTGGTGGTTTTTGTTCGGTGGTGGTGGTGGTTTTTGCATCCGTTAAAAATTTATTATCCATTGTTCTATACCAAATTTTTTTATTCTTCTTCTTCATTATTATTTTTCCGCAATCGATCGAATTTGCGAACCGCATTTTTTCTCCAGAACTTACGTTTGCCTCTCTCTCTCTCTCTCTCTCTCTCTCGATAAAAATTTTTATTGTGGGAAAAAATCGTTACCGGTAATTTTTTTAAAAAGCTTATACATTTCCTTCCCCTCTCCCCCCCCCGAAAAACCTTTTTTTATTGTAATTGCGATTAACTTCGGTTAAAGAAAAAAAAAACAAAGAAAATTAACGTAAGAAAGGAGGGAAAGAAGAGGGAGGGGCAAATAAAAAAAGAAAATATGTCGAGAAAAATTGTAAAAGGCACGATATATCAAAAGGAAAAATGGCGGAGGTCGTTAACAATACTAATACTAATAATAATAATAATAATAACAATGCAAAAATCCACAACCGCGATTTAACCTCGCGAATACAAAAGTAAAATGTGGAACGAACGAAGGAACGACGATGAGCACAAGTTAATTTACCACCTCCGGGGAAGAAAGAAAAGGAAGAGGGGAGGGAGGTAGGAGGAGGTAATGAATAATAATAATAATAATAATAATAATAATAATAATAATAATAATAATAATAATAATAATAATAATAATAATAATAATAATAATAATAATATGAACGGTAATTATTACTTTTTAAAATAAAAAAAAAAAGCAAATTTTCCAAGTGATAATTACTTGGAAAATTAGGTGACAAAACGGTACGGTTGGCTCTCGTCGTATTAACATTAACATTAATAATAATAATAATAATGATAATGATAATAATAATGTGAAAATTAAATTTTTTTTTTTTTTCGTTTATTGTTTTGTTGATGTGATAAATTTCAAGGTCACGTTGTTATTAGTATCATTATTGTTATTAAAATCGTCACTAGAATACGATTAAGGTCACGTTTAAAATCCTGATGGTCACTCAACGGTCGCGATCGTCCCGATCCATTCTTTCCCTTCCCTTCATTTGGGGGGGGGAAAGAGAAAGGAGTGAAAGTTTTCAAAGGAAAATTATTTATGGCTGAGCTTTAAAAAGAAAATCCTTTTTCAAGAAGGTGGAGGAAAAAGTTGGTTTTTTTTTTTTTTTCTGTTTTGGGGTCACCATCACCAAACGAAGAAGAAGGAAAAAGGGCGCGACCAAATGCGTTTCACCCACTGAAATGTAATAAAACAACCCGAGGCGCGAAGAACTCGGACACCTTTTCATATATATATATATATATATATATATTTTTTTTTTGTCTTATTCTAATTTCCTACTTTTATCTTTCTTTTATCTACCTTTTTTAGATGATGATAAAAAAAAAAAAAAAAAAAAGATGGTGGATTCATCAATCACGTGGTCTAACCACAAAAATTTTTCTTACACACTTCATTAAAAAAATAAAATCAAGTTTCAATTTTTATCGCGCGTTAAATTAATAAAAAAAAAAAAAAAATTAGATCGAGAAACAAATTAAAAAGTTGTTTCATCGATAATTGAAGTTCTCGTTCTTAAATAATTATGGAACTACAACTACAACTACAACAACAACAACCGAACAACCGGCCATTCGATCGACCGACTACAACAACAACAACCACAACAACAAAAACGACGACGTGCTGTAATTATTTACGAGCGACATTTGACCAAAAAAAACGAAAGTTTGAATTTTAATTTCATTAATAATGATGATAATAATAATAATAATAATAATGATGATGATGATGATGATGATGGTAGTAGTAGTCGTCTTTTAAAAAACACAAAAAATTAAGAAGAAAAAGAAAAATTTTTTTTTTTTTTAGAGTTGGTAACATTGAAACCGATTTGCCTCGGCCCGATAAGAATGTTCAAATATTCACTTCCGTCGTCTGCAATTTTAGGTATCCGATTGATTGATATTCTTCAAATTTTCTTTTATTACGTAACGCGCGTAACATGAAATGAACTTTTTGCGGTTGACAAGAGAAGCATCAGTCGCAGCAGCAAATGATTTTAATTATTTAATAGTGACAATCAAATCCGATAAAAAGAAAAAATGAAATAAAAAATAAAAACGCGAATTTGTTCGTTTGCAGCAAAAAAATTAAATAAAAGAATAATTGTTAACGCGAATGTTTCCCGTAGCAAAAAAAATTTTATTTTTTTAAAATTTGATGTTTGCAAAGAAAGAAACGAAAATTTATTTTTTTTTTAAATTTTAAATTAACAGCAGACGACGGGAAAAAACAAAACAATGAAACGATACGTTTTTTTTTCTTTTTTTTTTTTTTTTTGCTACAATTCAATGAAAACGCGAATCGCAATCGATTCGAAAAGAAACGCATAAAATAATAATAATAATAAAGATCGATTCATTTGCGGTTGTTTTTCTTTTTTTTTTCGGAAAAATTTTGTAAATAAAAAAATTTTTCGAAATTTTTTTTAGCAAAAAAAAATAACAGCAAAACGAAAAAAAATTGTAATTTTTTGGCGAGGCTTTTTTTTTTTTAATAAAATCACACGAACACATACGCACCAGCTAAATTCGAAACCGTTTCGTAGAGCAAATGTTCCGTGACGTTTTTTTGTTTTTTTTTTTTTGCTGCGGTTCATTAAAAACAATAAAAATAAAAAAATTTTCCTGTCGCATTATTATTTTTTTATAACGCGAATCGATCCCCCATCTTATCATATCATCCCTCATCATCACACCTTTTCTTTCGTTTGACCCGTGTGGGGATAACGCTTCGAATGTTTTTTTTTTTTTTTTTTTTTTTTTTTTGCGTTCGTTTAAACTCAATTCTTTTTGCTAATATCATACACCGCCTTCTTGATATTAAATGGTTTTTTTTTTTTTTTTTTCTTTTAAATGCATCATTCATTTGATTTTTGTGCTTTCCTTGACATTTTCAAAAAAAAAAAACAAGAGGGGGAGCTCATTACTTGTTTTTTTTTTTCTTTTGCCAACCGCTTCTCGCTAAAACTATTTATACGCATTTATATATATTTTAAATTAAAGTTATTATCATCATCATCATCATCGTTTCTTTTTTTTTTTTTTTACACGATACTGATCTTAAGTAGAATTTAATGTTTGTCTCGTTAATTTTGATGCTATTCTCCCTATTATTATTATTATTATTCTTTTTCTTTTTCCGGTTGTGTTCGACGGTGTTACCTGTCGCTTCTGGTAATATGTCAAAAAAAAAAAAAAAAAAGAAACACGAATGGAAATTCCGATGACGGGAAATAAAATAATAATAATAATAATAATAATAATAATAATAATAATAATAATAATAATAATGAGAAGAAGAAGAAGACAAAAAAAGCCGACTCGGTAAAAATTACTAAAATTTTCCAAAACGATGAAAAATTTCATCGCTGGAAATAGGAAAATTTTTCTTACGTATGTTTAATAAAAGAAAGAACAAACGATCGATCAAAAAAAAAAAAAATATGGCGAAAAATGATAATAATAATAATAAAATGACCAGCCCAAACCGCAAATTTTGTCTTTCGGCCATTAATAATTTAAATGCATGCATGCGTGCGTGTGTGTGTGTGTGTGATTTTTTTCATGCGAATCCGTGGGAGATTAAAATAACGGTTTTGCCCTCGTGTAATAGTTCGTTACAAAAAAAAAAGTTGTATGGATGTTACGCGTAGCAAAAAAAAAAAAAAAAACTTGATTTTAATTTTTGCTATAAAAAAAAAAAAAAAAAAGTGAAATGGAAAACCCGTCTCGACAAACACAAACGGGAGAAAATTTACGATTCAACAAACGGTTTTGAATTCACGATCGGCCCTAATGAATTTATTTGCACGTCTTCGATATAAATGATAATAATGATAATGATCAATATGTCGAAGGTGGGAAAAATGACGGAAGAGGGTAGAAGGAGGAGGAGTGAAGGAATTGTTGGTGCGATCGAAATCAATCGATTTGATCCGAGGAAAATAAAAAAAATAAAAAAAAATTAAGAAAAAGACAAAGACGGAGGAAAAGAGAATAAAAGAAAAAAAGGGATAAACAAACACCCAGAAAGAGAGAGAGAGAGAGAGAGAGAGAGAGAGAGAAACATTCAGAAAGAGAAAGAGAGACTGAAATAGGATGTCGCGAACACGTAAAAGCTTTTATGAAAAAAAAAAAAAAAAATTTTTTTAATAATTAACAAAATACGACACGTGAATCTTAAAAAAGGAAAAAAAAAAAAAAACAGGTTTGGACTTTAGTCTATTGACACTACTTGAAAATAAATCAATGTATTATTATTATTATTATTATTAGCATTCTGCTAACGCGAAAACATGCGGAAGAATTTTTTTTTTTTTTTGCCGTTCGGACAAGTGACATTTTCAACGGATCCACCACAAATTTAATCGAACTGACCGTGAATGAAAAAAATAATAAAATAAATGAAACGCGATAAAAACTTTTAAAAGGTTGTGACGTAATAAAAAAAAAAAAATGGCGCCTCGTTTGTTTGTTTGTTTGTTTGTCTTTTTGAGAAAATGTGATGTCGTCTCGTGAACATTTAAATTTCACTTTTTTTTGTGGTTGTGTCACGATTTTTTCGGATCACGTTAAGCATATCTTCGCGGTTTTAACGAGATACAAACAGATTTTTTTTTTTTTTTTTTTGGAAACAAACGATTTGTTTACGCGCGAAAGTTTAAAAGAAACAAACAAAATAAAAACAACTTACCCCTTAGACGTCTGCTGGAGTCCGTGTTTGTCCATGTTTTCCTTTTTCGTATCATCAAACGTTCCGTCGAAAACTTTCAAACCGTCTCGATCCCGATTGGGTATCCTGCATTCGTATTCCGACACTTTTTTTACCGGCAAACACGATTTCGGTTCGTAATTTGTTTTCGTTATTGTTTTTACCGGAATCGCGGACATGTCCGGACTTAGTCTTTCTTTAACTTTACCATTCACGTTTGATTTTTTCGACGGGTACCTCAAACTACTTCGCGAATTCGAATCGTTTCTCGTACCTTTCACGCTAGCTCTGACTATGTTAGAGTTTTCCGGTTTGGAAAAACTTCTGGCAAACGGAACTTTAACATCCAATTGATTTTGTTTTTCTATTGTTTTGTTTTGCCACGGATTATTACGTTCTGACGCGTCTTGTTTCCGGTCGTTGTTAACGTGAACATCGTGGGGCAGTGGTAATGGCGGTCGATTTTCTATGTTGGCTTTTAACGTCGGTGTTTTTTCATCCGACGAATCTTTTTTATTTCCGTGTTTGTCTTTCGACGAATGTTTTTTCTTTTGAAGCTCTGCTAATCTGTTTGATTCCATTATGGCGTTCAGTGCGTTTTGATCGTATTGTATTTCGTATGCGTCCGACATTAAATTGGGTCTCATTGGGTTATCGTTTTGCGATACGATTCGGATACCGGATGAATCCATATCCGAACAGTCTTTTATCGGTGAAAATTGAGTCGGAGATTGAGGACTCGTGCGTCCGCTAGACATCGGAGTAGATCTTCTAGGAACGGCAGTTGCCAAATGCCATTCGACTTCTGGCGGAGGCGGAGGAAGTGGTTCGTCGAAAGGAAGTAAAATATCATCTTCCGGCATCGGAGGCGGAGGAGGAGGCGGTGGCAAATCGGGAGTTGGCATCCTATCGAAATTCGTCATGGGTTTTTGATAATGCAATGCCTCGACATCCGACTTAACGTGAGGAACTTGATTCGGACTAGGGCTTCGATGAGGAAGTGGTGGCGGAATCGTTCTTAAATGAGGTTTTTTCGGCGGAAGCTCTGGAACCCAATCGTCTATGGATATGCTAGGACCGATAATTGCGGGACCCACCAAACTGCACGAATAAGAATGATTTATTTTACTCCACGACCCGATGCTCGTGTCGGAAGCGCAAGAAGCTCGACGATTTGATATCGGACGCGGCGGCGGAGGAGGAGGAGGACCGATATTTTTTTGTAAAATTTCTTGACTGCCTCCAGTTTGACATTGTAACAAATTTAGTTTTTGTTGTTCGTTCTTCCAATTTTCTTGCAACTTCGCATTCATAACAACGCCGGTCCCTCCTAAAAAAAAAAAAAAAAAACGTAACAAAATCAATAAAATTTTATGTTTTTCACCCTGAAATTAAATTATTTTAATTTTTTTTTTTCCTCTCGAAGTTTCCATTGAAAATCAATTATCGATTAATATCCTTAACTCCTTCCTCCCCCCCCTATATCATGTGACACATAAATGGTGACATTTTAATAAAAAATTATTGTAAACCTTGTCGATATCAAAATAAATATCATAAAAACTTGCCAATGTTATTAATCGTAAAAATTTTTTTTAATTTAGGTCAACAATATTCAATTCTATATTTATAGCGAGATTAATAAAAATAAATATAGACTATATTTTTATAGTTTATAGTCGAACTATAAAAAATCTTTTAAGAAGACTAAATACCACGGCATTAAGAATACATTTGTACTCGATTCGTCTATTTTTTCTGAGCTATGCATAAATTTTTTAAATTATTTACTATAAAATTTATAGCAGTATGTAAATTTATAGTAATTTTATAGAGCGTGAAATAGTTGTAGGAAATTTTCTCACCTCCGATATTTGAATTCTGATGTCTTTCGTAAAAGCTTAAAAGAGCTTTTTTCTGTATGGCTTTCAACGTCGGATCGGATACTTTGTGACGTTTGTCAGGATCGTAGTAAGCATATTTTTGTGATTGTTGTTGTTGTTGTTGCTGTTGCCTTTCAAGTTCGCTTATGCGTTCTGCGACTGTCATTTTTGGAACCGACGTCGGCGAGATCACTGGTTTGCTAAAAATTTAAAATTTGAAGTTAAATTTTTTTCAAAATAAAAAAATAATGAAAATTTTTGAAAAAGTTTTTCCACGAACCATTGTTGTTGTTCATTCGGTTGTACCGTGTACGTGTGCACGGGAAATAGTTTCAATTGTTGACTTCTGTCGGTGTTTATTTTCGATTGCCAACTGTTACTTCCGGATTGATTTCCCAAATACAAAACACTTTCCGAATGATGCCTTTGAGGTGGTGGAACTCTCGAACTATGCGCAATCAATTGTCTCGATCTGAAATTCGTTCGTGAATTTTAATGAATTTTTCAAATAAAAAACAAACAAACAAACTCAACAACAACAACAGCAACTTTCATAAAAAGAAAACAAACCTGCAAGTACTACTGGCAACGCTGACATCCGACATAGATCCATGCCATTTGAGAGTTTCGCTGGAACTTGCGCTACCGGAACTCGTCGTAACAACGGAATCTCTTCCGGCTCTGTTATCATCTTCGCTCCAATTTTGATTTCTTATTCCCGTGTCGCTATCTCTTCTCAATCTATCTAAAAATGGCGTCGTCGTTATTTCGCTACTCGATACGTAGCTGTGATAACCTGAAAATAATAATAATAAAAATCAATTTTATTTCAATCGTTCCTTCCACTATTATACATATACATTTCCCCCCCTCGTCTCGTCCTTCAACCATCATCGTCGTAATTACTACTATTATTATTATCATCATCATTATTAATTTCAAAAATTAATATGTCTCGGGGTGTGTAAGAGAGAGAAAGATAGAGACACACGCACGTGGAATTAAAAAAACCGTTCACGTAATTTATTACGTGTATTAAAAAAAAAAAAAAAAAAAAAAAAAAAAATTTTCTACTTAAAATAATAATAATAATAATAAAAACGCGCGTTTTAATAAATTTATCCTTCGGTTATTATCATTATTATTATTATTATTTATTACGCATTTGTTAAGTATACGTACGTTACGTAAAAAAAAAAAAAGCAGAAGATAAAGAAGAAAAAAAAATTTACTCGTATAAAATTATTTTTTCTAAAATCGATCTATCGATCGATCGAACATTAACAAAAATTACTTATTAGCTATTTACACGATGAATTACAATTTTCATAATAATAATAATCTTCACTACAATCATCCTAACTACAATTTCTGTATTTTTGCTTCTGCTGTCGTATCGATAATGTCTCATTGCGTGTCATTTTATTTTAGAAAATAAAAAAAACTGACGACTACACTACTACCACTACCACTTTCTACTACAACCGTTGCAGAACTCGATAGAATGAATTTATTATCATTATTAAAGAGGGTTAATTTATTACAATGTAATACAAAAATGTTCAGGTTAGAGGAGTGTGATTACAGTTATTTCACACCAGGGTTATTGTACTCGAATTTATAACGCGCGCGTATAATATGCACATGCGTAAACGCGTTAAAAATCAGTTTAATAACCGTCAAATCGGGGGTACGAGACCGTGATTCGATCGATATTTTTTTTTTATTCTATGACCGAGATGATGATGATGATGATAATAATAATAATAGTACTCTCTTATATACGTTCCTCTAAAGGTTTTTGATTTTTTAATTCACCTTCAGATTGAGCGTAGCTTCCCTGATGTTGATGTAAAGGTTTGAGTACGTCATCATACGACCTCGCATATTCTTCCAAATCGGCTTGTGTCAAAGGCGGAGGTTTTCGTATATCTTCATAAGGCGTTGAATAATCACCATTATCGACCTTAAAAAAAAAAAAAAAGAAAAAGGTAAACGTCGGGTATCATATCAAATCAAATCAAATAAAAAAAAAAGTGATACCAACTTTCGTCATGTGATTTTCCTGATAATATTTATCGATGTCTGCTTGAGTAAGAGAAGGTTTATCCCTTTCCGGCGGTGATGGTACCATATAATTTTGATCCCCTATAGAATTCCCTTCTCTGTCCAATCTCGGCAAGTACATCCGTTTTTCTCTTTCGTCTATTTGTTCCATTGTTTTCGTATATGATTCCGGCGTGATTTTTTCGCACCTTTCCAAAACTGTTTTCAACTGAAAATTAAAATTAATTTTTGTTTAAAAAAAAAAAAAAAAATTTTAACTAGAGGTCAAAAGGTCGACGTTCGTCATTTAACAAAAAAAAAAAAAAATTTAAATAATGAGTCACAACTGGAATCTCATAGAGAGAGAAAGAAAGAAAAATTCAAAGTTAAAAATATACGGGAAACATGTCGAAGGAAAATGAATGATGTCATTAAAAATAAAAAATGGACAAAAGTCGTGGCCAAAAGTTTTTCTTTTTTTTTTTTTATTGTCAGAAAATTTAAATTCTTCTATTAACTCTTTGCAAACATGATTTAAACTGTAAAAATCATAAACCGTGACGATGCGTTGACTTCCTGTTTGTTCCTCCATTTTTTTTTTTTTTTTTTCGAATTAAATTTGGCCGAATGCGTGAGAAAAAGGAAATGATAGTAATAATAATAATGATAGGTATTACCTGTTGTGTGAAAGCCGGATTTATTCTTTTGCTGTAGGGTCTCGCGTACGCTGTCACCTTTTCTTTTGGGTAATTGGTTTGTTCCGTCCAAGAATGAGATCTTTGAGGTCTTTCACCAGTACCCGCTCTGATCGTTCCAGGCCAAGATGGATATTTTTCGTGACCCGGTCCGTATTTGATGGATATAAGACTTGAAGGATCTCGTGCGGGTGCTTCCGGGACATTTTGACCCCGGAACCAATCACCGTTCGAATAATCGTAACGGAAACCGCATTCTAATAAAGATTTATTAAATTTACGATCGTTTGAATGTTTATCATCATCGTCATCGTCATCATCATCGTTATCATCATCGTCATTATCGTCGTCATCATCATCACCACCGTTTCGTACGATTTGATCCTTTTCCTCGACTTGATCTTTTTCTCCGATTAATTTTTCTATTTCCACTTTGTTGTCCCTTTTTTTTTCTCTCACTTCCGCTTTTCCTTTTCCTCCTTCTTCTTCTTCTTCTCTTTGTTTATTAAATTTAATTTCAAATTTGTCGTCTTCTTTTTCTTTACTCCAACTTATGTAATCGGTCGTTTCTAAATTTTCATATTTGTAATGATCGTCGTTAAAATAATTGAAACTCGTTTTACCGGTTTCCGTTTTATAAAACGAATAATTTATTTTTTTATAATCCGTTTCCGGTTGTTTTTTAACTTCGTTTTCAACTTTTATAAATTGATGATTTTTGTCTTTTATAAAAAAATTACCGTCGTTTTCGTAGTGATTTTCTCCGGTTGATTTTTTCCTAGGCGATGATGTTGGCATTATAGATGATCCATTTTGTTTTTCGATGACGTTCCTCTGTTTCTCTCCGTTGACATATCTGAAACTGATAACGTATATTGATAAGAAAAAATAATTAAAATAAATCAATCGATCGCAAACATTCATATCGTGTAAACAGTCATAACAGCCATTTTATCAAGTGAAAATTAAGTTTGTAGTGGAAAACTACGAAGGGGGAGGGTGTTTCATATCGTGGAAGAAGAAAAACATGGAAGACCACAAAGTCGGATGTAGTGGGTGGATCTTCCACGTGTGAAAATGATAAATTTTTTTTTGCGCTACCGCTTGATGCCACATTTATTTATTTTTTTAAATTTACTTTCTGGAGAATTATTCGCGCCTTTTACGATCGCCCGTGAGGCTAGACGCTGAACACCATAGACGTGAAAATAGAAAAAAGGAAAAAAAACGCGCGATTGGCTACCAAAAAAGCTTATCGCGATTGGCCAAATTCCAGAGGAACACCTTTTTACGATTAATTACCAATTCCAAGTTTAATTAAAAATTCTAGACAAATTACTTTTCTCCAGGGGCGACGCCCCTGGAGAAAAAAAAAACCTAGCGAATCAAAGTTTCATTTTCATTATAATTTTTTTTTTTTTTTTTTTTTGCGTTTTACTGCCCGAAACCATTTTTTTAATTTTCTCCAGTTTTGCTTTATTAATGATTTAATAAAGTTATTCATCATAAATCAATATAATATTATTATTATTATTTTTTTTTATTTTCTGGTTCGAAAAGGACAACTAGTTAGAGAACCCCTAAAAGGAATCACAAAAAAAAATTTTTAAATTTAAATTTAATTAAATTTAATCCCAAAAAGAAGAGAAAATTCATCGAAGTGACCAAACAAACAATAAATTTTATTGGGAAAGGCAACAAGTCGAAAAATTTTAAATTTCTTGAAAATGCGCGTTCGGGAATTGCACGTGCGAAAAGTCAAAGGATTTTTTTTTTTGCGGTGAAAATTCTCGTCGTCTACGAATGAATTTTTTTTTTTCCATTGTTGTCCATCTATCAGTGGACTGAATTCACGCAAAACACGTTCGGAAATAAATAAAAAAACGCACGCGTACGATTTGCGGTTTTTATTACGTCACAACGATAAAAATAAAAAATAAAAATAAAAATTTTCTGCTTCGTAACGCCCATGATTTCCGACCTTCCCGAAGGTTCTTTTTCCCTTTTTCTTCTCTTTTTAATATTAATTAATTAACTTTTTAATCCTCCATTTTATTATTATTATTATCATAAAACAAATAAATAAATTAAAGGCGTGATTTCTGCTTGAATAAATAAATGATAAAAAAAAATATCCCCGAAGACAAAAAAAAAAAAAAAACGTTTTGGAACATTCCAAAAAAAAAAAAGGAAAAAAATCGTGAATTATAAAATTTTTATAGCGCTATAATTTTTTTTTCTATAAAAATTGTAAACATTAATAATAATAATAATAATAATAATAATAATAATAATAATAATAATAATAATAATAATAATAAATAAAATTTGTTGCTAAAAAAAATTTTTTTTTTTTTTTTTGACTTTTACTTTTTTCGGCAGACCGTAAAATGCGTTTTTTATTTATTTATTAATAATTTAAAAAGTAAAATTGACACAAAAATTTTTTTAAACGTGGCAGAAGAATGAAAGAAAAAAATAATAATTATTATAATAGAATTTTTTTTAAAAACAACAAAATAATTAATTTATATTAATATAGTTAAATATAACGATCCGCCATTTTGTTTTAAATTCGTTTGAGCAAAAAAAAAAAAAAAATTATTTTAAATAAATAACAAAGATCTCGTTTTTTTTTTTTTTTTTTTTTTATTCTTCCCCCCCGTTACTATTTTTTTTTTTTTTTTTTTAATGATTATTATTTTTTTCGTTAACGAGATTTGCAAAAAAAAAAAAAAAAAAAAAAGGAAAAAATGGTTGTTGGGTTTTTTTATTCGACCTTGAAAAACTTTTATTCGAACGAGATGAATGGACGTCGTCTGGAGAAAAACAAACCGCGAGCATTGCTGGAGAATAAAAATACTCGGGGAACTCAAGTTAATTAGTTTTTTTTTAACAAACTATGGTAATCAAACGAAAATATTTTTTTAAAAATTTTAAAGACTATAAAAACAATAGACTATTATTATTTTTTTTTAACGCGCTATATTATTATTATTATTATTGTTATTTGGTAGCCACGGTTACGTTTGTATAAATTTTTCATTTCAAACGTAATTCTCTCTCACTCTCTTTTTCTCTACTTCTCTCTTTCTCTCTGCCTTTCTCTCTCTCTTTCTTTCTCATTGTCTCTCTCTCACTCTTTTTCCTTCTCTTTCTTTCTTTCTTTATTCCTCTCTTTCCTTCTCTCTCTATTCGTTTTTATTTTCCTTTTTTTCTTTCTCTCTTTCCCTTTCTATTTTCCTCTTTTTTTTGTCTTTCTCTCTTTGTTTCTCTCACTCTCGTTCTCTCTCTCTTTTTCTCAAAAGATTTCTGGAATTTCAAAATAATTTTTTTATTTTTTTTTTCGTGTCCGTATAATTTCACGTACGCTTATCTGGAATTCCATTTTAGAAAAAAAAAAAAAAAAAAAAAAGAATTTTGTTTTTGTTTTTTTTTCTCCATTTTTACTATTATTATTATTATTTTTTCCAGGAATTATTTTAAACTCCAGCCGTAGCCACCTGGGTCTGGGTAATTAATCGTAATAAATGTAAAAATTCGTATTCGTTCACAATTCGATAAATTACAACATCCGGTTAACGTAAAAAAAAAAAAAAAATTTAATGAAAAATTTCACGGAATCCAAACGCTGGAATTCGAACACTGGAACCCAATTTTTTTTTCCCCCTCTCTCTTTCTCCCTTTTTTTAAAAAGTTTGTATCATTCGCTGGAGAAAAATAAAAAATAATAATAATAATTTTAATTTTTTACGCACTCACATTTTTACCAAATGAAAATTTTTCATATCGGAATTCGTTATTCCAAATTTCCAAAATCCAAATTTACAAATTTTTTTTATTTTCTCCAAAATTTCCAAAATGAAACTTATCGACCAGTCAATTTTATAAACAGTAACAAAAATAAAAAATGAATTTAAAATTAGAACATTAGGTCATTAGGTCAAAATCCGACATTAAATCACGTTCATATATATATATTTTTCATCGTGTCTTCGTAATAATAATTTAATCTGGAGAAAAAAAACTGGAGAAAATAAATAGTCAATTAAATAATACGTATATTAAGTGATAATTTTTTTCTGTTTTTTTTTTCCAGTAAACGAAAATTCACGTTCGAAAAAAAAAAACGTAAACGATTCTTATCTTACCCGCGATATTTCTCCAGCGACTCGTGTTGTTTGTTTGTTGGTCAGTTGTTTGTTAAGAAAACAAACTCGTGAAACAATAAATATCATTTTATTTATTAAAAAACAAACAAAACAAACAAACAAAATACAAATAAAGATAAAATCGCTGGAGAAAAAAATAAAAATATTCCCGAAGGAAAAAATATTTCAACGATTTTTTTTTTTCATTTCAGTATTCCAGGTAAAATCATTAAACCGGTCAAAAATAATAATAATAATAATAATAATAATAATAATAATAATAATAATAATAATAATAATAATTTTCACTCAAGGATGTTCCATAATATACACGTTATCTAAAACGGAAATGACTTTTTAATAAATTTTTTTTTTTTTTTAATGAAATCTGGAACGTTTAAATCTTTCGTTCCAGTCGTTTAACGTTTAAAGTTGAATTAACTTTATTATTTTTTTCGTGCCCCCCTTATCATCCCCCACTCACCCGCCTACCCACCCCTTCCTTAAAACGTATATAATAACTAAATAAAAAAAAAAAAAATTTCCTTTTAAAGTTTTCTCCAGCGTGACATAAGTTATTATGAGATAAATCATTCGTCGTATATTAAATATAAATAAATTTTTTTTTTTCGTCCTAAAAATCTTCTAGAGGGCAGGGAAGGGGCGGGGGAAAAAGGTGGGAAAAAGGGGGAAACAAAATGTCGTCTTTTTCTTCTTTCACTTTTTTTTTAGGGGTTAATAAGTAAGATTTTTATGGAAAACATCGAATCACGTTACTGAACAATTTATTTATCCAATAAACACTCGTTTAAATAACGATAAATCAAATCATGACGTCACTTATTTCAAAATAATAATAATAATAATAATAATAATAATAATAATAATAATAATAATAATAAATTTATTAACAATTAATTTAAAAATAATAACAGCACAATAATAATGATAACCTTTGATACGTTTTTATTTTTTTTTCCCCGGGAAAATTTCTTAATAAATTAATTGTGCGTTTGTTTGTTTGGCTGGTTGTTTGTTTGATAATTAAAACTCGTGTTTGTTTTCGTTGCGTTTGTTATTTCGTAAATAAATTTACTCGTTTTTTTTTTTTTTATATAAAGTTTTCTCTACATTATCCCTAAAGGTATTTAATAAAAAAAAAAAAAAAAAATTGCAATTTTTTATAAGAAAAAATTAAAATTAAAAAAAAAACACGACGCCATTTTGAGAGTTCAAGGAACGTTTTTATAAACACGTTTTATTAAGACGTGACGATATCGTTAAAATATTTTCCTTTTTTTCTCTCATTTTTTTTTTTTTTTATTCCTATCCCCTTTGTATCCCGTTTCTCTCTCTCTCTCTCACTCTCTTCCCCCTCACTTTCTCCGCATCCCTTTTTCCACACCCCACGGGGAAAGGGTTTGATTACCGAATCCTCCCATTTTTTTTTTTTTAATTTCATAAGCTAAAATACGTTTTGTAAATAAATGTACCTAAATAAATTTTTACAAGATTCTGGAGAAAACAAAAAAAAATATTCGACAAACGACGACGACGACGACGACGACGACGACGACGACAACGACAACAACAACAACAACAACCGAATATAAAAAAAAAATTCCTTTCCATCGAAATTAAAAACTAGTTTCCATAAAAAAAAAAAAAACTGCATCCAAGTGGTGGCACGAGGTATAAGGAATGCATTTGGGCGCCAGTTGAACCAAAACGTGGATGGATTTAAAGGCGACACAGACACCAACACACGCACGGGGCATGGCATGGAATTGTGGCGGCGACGACGGCGGTGATGGTGGCGGTGGTGGTGGTGGCGGCGGCTGGAGTGGAGGAAGTGGCGGTATAAAAACGATGTCGTAATGTGGCAAGGCCGAATTCTCATCTGTTTCTTTTTTTTTTTTTTGTTCAATGACTTGAAAACCTTCGTTCGCGTCCTTCCATCTTTTTTTTTTTTTGACAGGTTTTACATATTATTTTAATTTATTTATAAATCCGTTGATTTTTTATCGTTTTCATTCCAGAGAATTTTTTTTTTTTTGAAAAATGTTTTTTTCTACTTATTAATTATTACGTAATAATAATAATAATAATAATTTTTTATTCTGCTTGAAGAAACGTACTTAAACGTAACAGATTTATTACTTATTAGTATCATTATTATTAATTTTTTTTACCGCCGCCATAATAGTTTTTTAAATGATCGAATAAATGAATTTAATGATTATTCGACTACTGGATAAAACAATTTTTTCTTTTTTTTTTTTTTTTTTTTATGCGCGTGTCATATGAATCATCCTGGATATTTTTCCAGGAATGTGAAAGCCGTGCCTGGAAGGTGAAAGTAAACGGGGAAGGAGGGAGGAGGGGGAAGCGTGAGAATTTCAACCGACCGGAACGGAAAAAATAAATTGTGAGAAAATACGACTGGAAAATACGACGTACTTGATGACGTTTTTAATTAATCAACTAAAATTCTTTTTGTGTAAAAAAAAAAAATGTGTCAGAAAAAAATTGTAAAAATAATAATAATAATAATCGATTTTAACGGTCAATAATTTTTTTAAAATTTAAATGGATTCCATTAAATTAAAAAAATTTTTTAAAAATTTAATTTTTTCGTTTAAATTTGAAAAAAAAAAAAAAGAAACGGAAGTTAAACGTTTTTATTAAACCGGAAACGGAATTTCTCTCTCTCTCTCTCTCTCTCTTAAAATTTTCGTGATTGAAAAAAAAAAAAAATTCTTTCATAAAAAAAAATAAAAAAATATTCATCGTCGTGTCATCGCCATAATAATAAAACAATATTTCAATTAATTCATATAATTTTTCTTCTGCCACGTTCGAGTAGCTGTTTTATTTTTTATTCACGTATTATTTATTTATTAAACTTTCTAACGTATTTTTTTATTACGTAATTTATTATTATCATTATTATTTTTTTCTTTTTTAAATAAATTTTCGCGACAATAAATAAAAAAAATTTTTTTCATTTTTTTTTTTTTTTTGCCTTTTAGGTAAAAAATAATTTTTTAAATAAAATTGATTGTTGTTGTTGTTTGTTGTTGTTTTCGTTGCTCAATCGTCGATGAAATCGCCCTTAAACTAAAATTCATTATTATCATTATTATTACGATGTTAAGAAATAAATAAAAGACACGGGAGTGAACAAAAAAAAAAAAAAAAAAAAGACAAAAAAATGATGCCAAACTTGATAAAAAAGAGAAAAAAAATGGCGAAATCGTCGCATAAAAAATTTTTTTTTTTTTATTTCACTCGCTATGAAAGTTTATTTACTCTATGGAAAAAAAAAAAAAAAATTAACGTGATATTTAATTCGTCGGTTAAAAAATATATTTCGTTTCACGTCGTATCGAATTTCCTTTTTTTTACGCGAACAATTTCTTACTTTTTTTTTTAAACTTCCGTTTCCGCTACGCAAACACACTCGTACGTAATCGATTGAAACAAAAGCATCGACTCGATTTTGAATTTTTACCGACAATAAAACATTTTTTTTAACGATTACAAAGTCGACAGGCGATAGCGATTACAACAATCCGGTCGGCGGTGGCGGCGGCGATGGCGGTGTCGGCGACAACAGCCGATTTTTTTAGTTAAAAAATAGTCAAGTTCCATTGGCTATGATGTAACAATCCATTTTTTTTATTTTAAATTTTAGGTGCCACATATAAAAAAAACTAAAACCACGACGACACGCGGCGTCAAATAATATTCTATAAAATATTCGACTACGAAATAATAAAATTATTATTATTATTATTATTATTCTTTGTTTTTATGGAAATACAAATAATGATGATGATGATGACGATGATGATAAAAACTAGAAATTTTGACCAATCGAAAAAAACTATTAATTATTTTTTGTGTTGTTTTTGTTTTTGTTGTTGTAGTCATTATAAGTCTATAATTATTATAAGTCTGACTGAGTTTTATCAGTCTCTCTCTCTCTTTCGACACCACCACCGCCGCCACCACCACCACCACCTTAACAATCTAGAAAGTTTCCATCAATGCGATTTCGATGAGAAGAAAACACGAAAAAATTTTTTTATTGTTTCTTTTATTTAATGAGTGTGGTATACCTTCCTAGTAGTTATCAGAGTATTAAAAGATATAATGAGGGTACCACGGACAGATAGAGAAGTAGATATTCGGTTGTTGCGCAACCGTTTGTATTTATCTAAAGCGGATAATATTATTAATTATTAAAATGATTGATAATAATATTATTATTATTAATTACAGACAATGGAAAAGTGATTATTTAAATCGTGGAAGAAGGAAGTGCGTAAACTGCCACGACTATTGGTATTTGGTGGTTTTTAAAAGTGATGGTGACGATCGTCGAACGAACTGAATAATGTAAAAATTTTTTCTTATTGATGTGTCTCTTCTCTCTCTCTCTCTCTGTCCCTTTTTTCCTTTTTTTCCTTCTGTTTTAATCTTTTTCTTTTCCTTCTATTCTCTCTTTATTTCTCTCTTTCCTTCTCCCTTAATTTTTTCCATTTCTTTCTATTACTTTTTGTTTTTCTCTCCCTCTCTTTCTTTATCTCTCTTATTCTTTATTTTTCTCTTTCCTTCTCTCTTACTTTTTTCCATTTTTTTCCATCTCTTTCTGTTTTTCTCTTATGCTTTTCCGTTTTCTTTGTACCTCGTTCTTTCTCCCTCTTTCTTTATTTCTTTCTTTCTCTCACTCCTTATTTTTTCTTTATTTCACTATTTTTCTCGCTCTTTATTTTTCTTTCCTTTTCTTTTACTCTTTTTCATTTCTTTCTATCTCTTTCTGGTTTCTCTCTCTCTCTATCTTTCTCTTTATTCTTCTTTTCCCTTCTCATTCTCTCTTTTCGGATGTAAACATTTAAATTATTATCACCTTTTAAAAACATTTCAGAATTTAAATAAATAATTTTCTTTTTTGTTGTTGTTTTTCAAAGTCATCATCACGAACGACTCTCTTCTCCTACCACGACAAAGAAAAAAAAAAAGATAGTTACGAGAGGAAAGAAGAGAGAAAATAAAAAAAAATTTTAAAGTGTCATTTAATTTTCGTCGAAAATTAATGTCGCCAACTTGCTAATTTTTTTTTTTTTTTTTTTTTTTTTTGTTCAGTTAAAAACGTTTTAAAAAAAAAAGTTATAATTTTACATTTTTGGTACCACGTTTTAATTTTTTTTCTTTCTTTCTTTCTTTTGTAACGCACGCGTTAACCTTAACCTTAAAGTACGCATACAAACAAACACAAGACGGTTTATTACTAAGAGATTGTTGTTGTGTGAAAAAAACCCACACGTATTGTGTCCTACAAACAAAAACGATATTTCAATGTAAAAAGTTTTGCTGTGACGGTGGAGGATTCGGTTTTTAATTTCACACATCCATTCGATGTAAGACTAGTGCCGCGAACAAAAAAAAAATTCTTCTGCTTTTCTTATTACCATCATCATTCAAACTCTTCGTCGTCATTCATTTCTTTTTCCATCATTGCAAAAATTTTAAATCATCTCAAACAATTACACAACCCGCTTTTCATTTTCACGTGTTAACAACCACACCAACTACTTCATCTAATTTTCCATCCGTTACATTATTATTATTATTATTATTTTGAAAGCCGACACCGAAAACAAATCCGCAAGAATAAAAAAAAGAATGAAAGAAAAAAAAGGAGTTTGTTTCGTTTGTTGCACGAGTGTTGCAAAAGAAAAAGAAAAAAAAAAACAACAACAAACAAAACACTCGCACGCACACACTCACGCACGCACGCAGGCATTGATGCACATAAAAGAATTAAATTCTAAAAAAGTCACGACCGGAAAAAGAAAAAAAAAAAAAAACCGTCAAGTTCGACCGTCGTCGAGTGTCAAGGCCATGTTTACTGTTTTCCTTTTTTTTCTTATGGCAAACTCGCGACGATGCGCGATTGTCGTTCAATTCATTTAAAAAACAAACGTTTCAAATCGTCTGCTAAACTTAATGAGAAAAAAACAAACAAAAACAAAAAAACTTCAACCTCGAATTATTATCATCATCATCAATATTTGTCTTTCTCTCTCTCTCTCTCTCTTTCGACGTACGAAAAAAAACAAGGTTCCTAAATGAATGGCGATGGTAATAATTACAAATAATATTTTGTTGCGTTTTTTTTTTTTTTTTTGTTTTCACGACAACAATAATAAACAAACACAACAACCGCGTGCAGCCATTTTGATCGATTCTTCAAAAAATCAAAAATAAAAATGAAAATTTCACTTTCACTCATCCATCCATCCATCTTTCCATCCGTTCGTCGTTTTCGATAAATTATTATTCAATTGATTAAGAAGAAGAAGAAATCGATACAACCAACAAACAAAAAAACAAAAAAAAACAAACAGCAGAAGACAAATGAATTTTTTTTTACGTTCGTCTATGAGGTCATCCTCATCATCATCATCATCATCACGTTGGTAAAAGTAAAAGTTTTCTTGTTTTATTCATAAATATTTTCAGGGTAGTGTTAAGGATACCTAAAACAATAATAATAATAATAATAACTACATACCTTCACCAATTAAAAAACGGGGAAGAAAAAAATTTATTATTATTATTATTATTATTAATTTTTTGTTATACACGAATGAACGAACGTTTTGACGAATGAGAAGAAAGAAAAATTTTTTTTTTTTTTTTTTTTTTTTTTTTTTTTTTTTTTACGATCACATTTCGATTTATCGATTATGTCATGCTCGACTTCGAGATATGTTCTTCGTTTATTTATAACAAACGTAACGAGTCGAAACGAGAAAATTTTATCATAATAAATCGATTCCATTTTTTTTTTTTTTTTAATGATTCGACCTTCTTCTTCTTCTTTTTCTTCAAGTTTTTTCTTTCTTTCTTTCTTTCTTTCTTAAGAAATTGATGAAAGATGAGCGTTCGTTCGTTCGAACACTCGTTCGATTTTAATGAAATCTCATTCTCGCCGTGACGAATTTTGTTCTAAAATGATAATTTTAATGGCAGGTGGAAAATGGATGGCATCAACAACAACAACAACAACAAACATCAATTGTTCTTTGCCAGGTGCAATAGTAGTTAATGGTCATCTGCTCATGGTCGAGTACCTTCACCACCATCACCACACACACACGAGTATTTAAATAGTTTACGTAGTCGTCGTCGTCGTCGTCGTCGTCGTCTACTTTTCAATAAAGACATCACGTGATCCGCAAATCAAATACGAACGCGTAATAAAATAATAAAAAAAAAAAAAAAAATTAATTAAAAGGAAATCGTAAAAGGAAAAAGAGAAAGAAAGAAAGAAAGAAGAAGAAAAAGTGGAAAATTGGTTGGGTTTTTTTTTTTTTGCAATTAACGTAATCGCAAACCGTTTGTTGTAAGCCGTTTGTAGTATAAATTAAAGATGTCGGCAACCTCGAATGAACTAAAAAATGTATCGACGATTCTCTTTAGATTTTTTTAATTACAATAACGTAAAGGAAACATTTTCATTCATCCGCCATTTTCCCGGTTAAAAAATCATTTGAGAATAAACAAACCCACGCGTTTTTTGTACCACCATCACCTCACCGCCTTCTCACACGTTCTTACGCGCATATTTTCGTCTGCTCATTAAATATCTACGTATGTTAAAAGTAATGGAATTAATTGTCGATATCGATAAATCGAATCGATATACAACCGATCGATAAATGAATTAAAACGTAGAACAGAGAGGGGGCGTGCGCGTGGAACAAAAGCAGACTACGTAAAAATTCTTACGAATTAAAAATTTTCCACGTATGATTTCATAACCGAAACCGCCAAAAATTTATCCTCTCTCTCCGGTTCATGGAACTGGACAAAATTTTATCAAAATCTTTGTCATGCATAAAAGAAATTTTGGATGACAAACGACACTTTATTTCATAATTTGATATTCATACGTGGCGCGAGACTTTTCACGTAATAATAATAATAATAATAACAGATTTCACGTTGACCGTATTGAAACATTCTTACGATCTCTCCCCCTCCCCTTCTTTCCTCCCTCTCTCCCGATGGGTTTTCATTCATCACGTCAATCCAATAATCTCTCACCCAAAAATTTACACACCGAATCCTTAGCCCCTTCCCTCTCCTACTCCTCCCCTCGAGTTCACTTGCTTTTTAAAAAAAAATTTTATTGGAGCGTGTCCGAGCTTAATGCAGCACGTATTAACGGACCGCGCGATGATAATAATGATGATGATTTAACTTATTTAATTAAACGAACGGGGATTTAAAAGGCGACATTATCATTATTACGCGCGCGTGATAATATATTTTAATTATAATAAAATAAATCCCGAATTAGTGACGACTTACGTTGCGTTTTTCCTATTAAAAAAAAAAAAAAAAAACGTGCGTAACGCGGAGATTATTAATAATAATAATAAAAATAAATATATATATATAGTTAAAACTTATTAATTTCCGTTAAAGAGATTCGATTCGGCTTTTGCCCAAAAATAATAATAATAAAATAAAATAAAACTCGTTTATGTTTATTTATTTATTTATTATTAACATTAATAATAATAATGATGATAATAATAATAATATTGAATTACGGTTGAAAATATCTTTTAATAAATAAATTTAGATTTGAAACGATGTTTTTTTTTTCTTTTATCAATGATAATTTACGTTTCGTGTCAACGTACGACGATTTTAAACAAACGCCGCGTGCGGTTTTTTCTGCTTCCACGCGCGTTTTTCAAATTCTACGTCATTAATTAATTTTTTAAATAAAGTACGCAATTTCTTAACGTTTGTATTTTTGAATTCGCGCAAAACGTACGTGGTTAAATAAATATGTATATATGTTTCGACGTGGGAATAGAATGATTCGTTTCTAATATAAATCAAAATTTAAAAAAAATCAATAATTAAATAAATAAATAAATAAACTTTCTATTTAAAAAATAATAATTTTTTTTTTTATTAACTTTTACTCGTCTTCTCTCTCTCTCTCTTTCTTTCTCTGTCTGTTTGTCTGTATCTCTTTCTCTCGTGGTAGTACAATCTTTATATAATATCAACGTAAAAAAATTTTTTTTTTAATTGATTCGACCGGTTCAAGGCTTCTTTTTTTTGTGGAGAAGGAATTAAAAAAAAAAAAAAGAAACATTTTTAATCCCCGATCGATAAATCTATATATTATGTACCTGTTGGTATAATTCGTGTGCCAGGTTTTAAATTTTAAAAAGGTTACAAACAACAACAACAACCAACAACAACAAAATCGACAAGAGTTTTTTTTTTTCCCCCCGATAAATATTTTGGGTACGGCACAAAAATTCTTCGTTTGTTCTCGTCGTCGTCGTCGTCGTCTTGGGTGGCCCTCTTATATCTTTCGCACCTGATTGTTAATAAAATAGCATCATCATCATCATCATCCCCTTTTCCATTTCCAGGTATAATAGTAAACGGTCATGAAGAAAAATATGACCACAGTAGAGTACACACAACACATTTCGTCAAAGTTTTACCTTATCTTTTGTTTTTGCAAACAACAAACAACCAAGACGACGAAGACTAGAACCACGATTACGTTAGAGAGAAAGAGAGAAAAAGAGAGGCCGCCGCGGCCATCATCATCATAGTCGGTGACGATGGAAAACAATAATAAAGAAAATAAGGGACAAAATCAAAATGTCAACCGTAACAAGTTAATAAATAAAATAAAAATAAAAATCTTTCATTGCGTAGCGTGTGTGTGTGCGTCTGTGCGTTCATCGTCTCTCTTTTCATTGTGTGAAGAAATCGATGATGTAATTTAAATGACAACAACCGCCGAAATCGTCCCGCATCCGCCATTTTTACTTTTTGTTTAAATTTTTTTTTTTTTTTTACGGTGCAATGAATCGGAAAACAAATTGCAATTCTAATCAAGGGTCTTTCTAATTATTCTAAATTGATTCGTCACATTTATAAATTTAATTTTTAAAATCTTTCATCTTGTAAAAAATGATGATGATGATAATAATAATAATAATAATAATAATAATAATAATAATAATAATAATAAAAATACCTGAAGAAGAAAATGAAAAAAAAAAAAAAAACGGGTGGATGATAAATAATAAATCGATTAATTTAACGTTTTCTGGAGAAAAAAAGAAGAGAGAGATTAGGAAAGCTTCATTTAATTTTTCCTTTTCTAGAAATTTCTTCGTGTTTCCGATTTCAAGGCACGACAAAAGCGAAATTTTCTCTCTCTCTCTGTCTCTCTCTCTCTTTCTCATTCGCCCAAATTCGTTCCATTTTAAATTATTCTATATTTACATTTGATTACTTTTTTTTGCGTTTGTCCGTTTGTTGCTCGCGTGCGTATCGTTTAGAACAAAAAAAAAAACGAAATTCCTTTTACTTTTGAGATAATATGAATCCCTCTCAACTTTCTTTTTTTTATGGTTAATGAGTGTCATTTACTGCCGCCGCAACCGCCGCAACCGACGTCGCCGCGTAATTAATTATCAAAACGTCAAAACTCCCACGAAAATATAAATAAATAAATAAATTTTTTTTTTTTTTTGCTTCCAGTCGTGTTCGATTTTCTTTTTCTTTTTATTTTTTTTTTTGTTATTGATTTCATTGATTGTAAAATTTGTCTTACTTTGAAGCCAGAGAGAAACTATGGTTGTTGTTCCATCTATTTTTGGATAAAATCATTCATCGTTCGACGCAAACAAATCCGAAAAGAAAAAAATGCAAACATTTCGACATCGCATTCAATTCAAAATCTTTTGTTATTGTTTGCTCGTTTGTTTGTTTGTTTATTTGTTTTCCTGACTGAAATTTTATGCAGTTTTTGAAAGGTACGAAATCCAGTCCGAATATCGACTTAATAACTTCCGTTCATTTAAAACGGAAGTTATAATTTTCGATTTTGTTTTTCAAAGCATTTTTCACATTTTCTTTCTCTCTTTCTCTCTCTTCCTCCTCCTTATCTCTCTGACTGTCTCTCCATATTCCTTCTCTCTCTCTCTCTCTGTTTTCAACGAAACACGTGAATGACGTAAGCTTCATTTATACTTATAATATATAACTGACATTGGCGAGTGTTACTTAAAGAAAAAATATACGTAAGAGCAAAAGAGAGAGAGAGATAGAGATAGAAATTCGACATACTAATAAGAAAAGTATTTTTTATAATAAACTTTTTTTTCTTTCTTTTCAGGTTCGAACACGTTTAAAAAAAAATAAATAAATAACAAAAAAAAAAAGAAAAAAACATTTTTCAGATTAACTCGAGGGCTCACCATCGTGTCCGTAATAATAATAATAATAATATTAATAATAATAATAATAATTATTATTATTATTATTATTGTACAAACGGTCAAAGAACCGGTTTTTATTTTATTTTATTTTTTTTTTTTTTACCTGAAGAAGCAAAATAACAACATTTTGCAAAAAAAAAAAAAAAAAAAAAAAAGAAAACTCAATTGTTGTAAATTTTTTACGGATTATGTCACAAATTTTATGTTTTAAAAATTTTTTATTATACCATCAGTTTTTCGATTGAAGGACAATTTACCACTTTTGCAGTAATATTATTATTATTATTATTATTATTATTATTATTATCGTTACCACCTCGAAGAACATTAATGACTTAAAAAATGCAAATCTCAAGTATGACGACAACGACAACAACAACAACACGACATTCGTAAAATGATTCGCACAACCTGAAAAAGAGAGAGAGAGAGAAAAACTCTTCTCTTCGTTCTTCTGCGTTGTGTGTCGTTTGCCCGTTTGTTTCCTTGTTTGTTTATTTGTTTGTTTTTATCAATTCCATTTAAAACAAAATCGCAATCGATTTGCCGTCGAAAAAAAAAAATTTTCTTATTAAAATAAAATAAAAAAAAAAAAAACTCGTTTTTAATCGTTTTCGTGTCTGGAAAATTTCCTTTCAATCATTGATAATTAATCCTCCTCTTATGTAAATTATTATAATATTTCTTCTCCAGCGGTTTGTCACAAAAAAAAAAAAATTCCTTTTTCCTCTTTTACCTCCCTTCCCCTCCGCCTCTTCCTCCTCCTTCTTCTTCCACTCCATCACGACCGGACAAACGACAATTCTTAAGAGCCCAAAAGTATTTCCATAAATTTTTTTTTTTTTTTTTGGGTTTCGGGTTTTTAATTTTGGGCCAAAAAAAAAAAAAAAAAAAAAAACAAAATTTTTCATTTGCATATAAATGTAAATTTTTTTTTTTTTTTTATTATCCGGTTCGTGTAATTATTAAACAATATAAATATTATCATTATTATTACTTTATATCATGGCAAAAAAAAAAAAAATTAAATAAATAAATTAGAGAAAAAAAAAATTTTTTTTGTAAATCAAACATTTAATCCTGACAGACAAAAAAATAAAATAAAATGGATTTAATAAAGAAAATAATAAACAACGAAAACGACAACCAAAAAAAAAAAAAAAAAAAAAACGTGTCTTTAGAATTATTTAAAATCAATCGTTAAAAGGTTCCATTATGGCGTCGAAACGTATATAAAAAAAAAATTAAAAAAAAAAAAAAAACTCGACCGTCTTGTCTTCGACTTTTTTTTTATAATTGTTTCTCCCTCAAAAAAAACGACTCGTATGTTTTATTATTATTATTATTATTATTATTATTATTATTATTATTATTATTATTATTATTATTATTATTATTATCGTACTTTTGAGTTCTATTAATAAAACAAACACAAAGCGAGACGTTATGGAGAAAAAAAAAAAAGAAAATGGAGGAAAGCGTGGGCTGGAATCCGACGCTATATATAAGAATTAATATTCGTTATTGTTTTCGTCCTGGAATTCTTTGGGGGGGACAGCGAAAATCACGCTGGAGGATAAATATATATATATATATATATATAAAACTAAAAACCTACTACAACTTTCCAAAAAAAAAAAAAAGATGGAAGGATAATTAAGGACACAAACACACACACACACGCGTACACTTTCAAACCACAAGGCATAAAACTATGCAACCGAAAAATAATTAATATAGTTAAAATGACAAACTATATATATATATAACGTCGTGGGCGAGAGTAAGTAAACAAACAAGGAGGTATCATCATTAAAACAAAATGGAGGACATCAAAACAAACGATACGAAAATGAAGGAAAAGATGAAAAAAAAAAAAAAAAAGAAAATTAATAAGACTCCGAACGTGACGTAAAACGGAAACGGAAAACGCTCCGGGGAAAAACATACCGACGGCAGCGCAATCAAACGGTTAAAAATAAAAACAAAATCACGTGTCATAAATTTTATCGTGGTTTAAGATTAAATGAAAATCGTTCGATGGATTGTACCCTTAATTGTTGATAACGGTTGGAAAATTTATTGCGAATCAAAAATTTTAAACGTTTGTCGTCATCATCATCATTATATTGTGGCCGTCGTTTGTCGTTTGTTTAAAACTAGCGTGAAAACTTTCTTTCGTAATTACTTACATTTAATTAACGTTTTGTCGTTCGAAATGATAATAAATATTATTATTTAATTAATACGTTTGTTTGTTTATTCAATTAACCTTTTAAAGCGCTTACGTTGTTGTTGTTTGTTCTTTGAAAGTTTTTTTTTTTTCATTTATTAAAACTTTATTAATCGTTTCGAAGGGTTTTGATAAAACGTAACTTAATTTTTATAACCGTCACGATTTATTATTTTTCTCTCTGATTTTTTTTTTTTTGTGAACGGACACGAAAAATTTTAACGGTTATGCCTTTTCGAAAAACGATTAATACGACACATCGGCCGGTCACATTTCGACCGATTTCAATAATAATAATAATAATAATAATAATAATAATAATAATAATAATAATAATAATAATAATAATAATAATAATAATAATAATAATAAGTAAAAGAAAAAAAAAGGAAAAATGTAATTACCGTCTTTTTTTTTTTTGTTACACAATCACATGGTGACTTTGTTTCACGGTAAATTAGTGTTACGTTTTTCAAAAAGAAAAAAAAGGACGTGGCATTAGCTATATATATATATATGTATCATTAGTGAACCTTCGAGAATTACAATCGTGTGCATATTACGTTCAAGTTCTTTACCATTTTGTTCTGTCATTGACCTTAAAATCTCAAAAAAAAAAAAAAAAAAAAATTTTTTTTATGAAATCAAATCGAAACAATCGAATCAGGGGGCAAAAGAATTTTAAATTTTTTTTTTCTAGAATTTTCTTCTGCAGAAGAAATTATTTACAAAAAAAAAAAAGTTTCGATCGTTTCCATCAGAGTCATCGCAAGACCTAACAACAACAGATACCACCACCACTACCACCATTCGTGCTATTTTATTTTTATTAAAAGTTTATAAATATTTAACGTGTCATTAGAATCATATTCGCGTTTATTTTTTATTCGGGAGACTTAATACCGAATTTTAAAAAGAAAACGAAAGAAAAAGAAACGAATTCGTTTACGAACGTGAACGGGTACGTAAATTAATGAGAAGGTAGCGGACACGCACACACGCACGCATTGACCGTTCAAACCGTCTCGTCCATCATCGAACCCGAAACCCTATACTTTTATTTTTTTTTTTTGGTAAATTAACCGGTTAGATTTTGGAAGTTACAAATCCACCACGACCAAACGTGACCGTTCTCTTTTTCTATCTACCAAAAGATTTAACTAACATCCCTGGAATAAAAAAAAAAAAAAAAATCCAGGTAATTACGATTACGTTCGCTTCGTGACCGATACCAAAAATTTTCACCCCCCATCATTCCCTCTCTCTCTCTCTCTCTCTCTGTCTTCCTCTCCTTTTTCCAGGAGTACCTCCCGTTCGCCCGTTTAAACCAAGGAAAAATTTTAATCCAGTCCAAGGTCGTTTGCGTCCATGTCTTTGATACATGGTAATCGGCTTACGCCAGTTGTTGTTGTTGTTGAATTTTTGCCGATTTCACTGGAATGCCAAGGCCGTTTCGATAGAAATTTCGTTTTACCGCATTCTTCCCGCTTCGATCTTCTCCCCTCCCCTCTCCCTCCTGTGCTCGTTTCATTGACTTCCTTTCCGATAATATTAATAATAATAATACAAGTTTCCTCTTCGTCTTACACCTCTATCTACCACCTCTTGTTACTCTCTTCCATTTAATTGATCCTTCTTGTTCTTGCAATCGTCTGGCAGACATCTTTTTTTTTTCTTCTTCTTTTTCTTCTTCGATTAGTTTCATCTCATTTTTTTCTTTTTCTCCTTTTTTTTTTGCAAAATTTTTCATTTTGATTTATTCTCAACGGTTTTTTTCTCATCATCATCATCATCATCTATTTCCTTCCTATTTTTTCGTAATTAATAAATAAATTATTCGACCGTATTTAATATTCCAAAAAAAAAAAAATTACCATAATTCGGTAGTAATAATGGCGGCGATTCGACGATGACGACGACGGCGATGATGATGATGATGATAATAAAATCGCGTTGTGCGAGACGGACGGTACACATTTTTCAAAAAAAAAAAAAAAAAAAACCACAAGACATTCCAGCATCCGAGTATCAAGGTGGTAGAAAATGAATTATGTACGCTTCAGAGTAATAATAATAATAATAATAATAATTGATCAAATGGTAATAAAAAAAAGAAAAAGAAAAATCCGTCACGTTAGGTTTAATAACTTTTCTTTTCTTTTTTTTTTCTTTTTTTTTATCTCCAGCGCATCGTTCCAGTCATTTTTCAAATTTTTTAATATTAATTACGTAACAAATAATATATATATATATATATATATATAATTGTGAATATATTTTTTAAAAAAAAGTGAGTAACTTTTTTGTAAAACGACGAGTAATAAATTAATCGTGACGGGTAGCATCGGCAAGATGAAAAACTGGTTAAAAAAAAAAAAAATCAATAAAATAATAAAACTAACATGTTACGATGAATAATTTTCAATAACAAAACAAACATTACGACAACAACAACAACAACGACAACCGTGATGATAATAATGATTACAAAGACGATCACGATGACCGCGATGATGATGATAATGATGACGGTCAAAAAATAAAACAAACGTAAATCGTTTGCTTACGAACAAAAATGATCGCGTAGGGGGAAAACGATATTCGATATGATATTTTGGACAAAGAAAAAGGGGAGAAAGGGTGATGGTGGGTGACCTTTGAAGGTCACGCTTCCCTCCACCCCTTCAAAATAATTTTTTCCATTCACGCGAGTAATTATAAATAATAAAAAAAAGAAATAATTTAACGGAAGATTAAAATTTAAAAACCCCGTTAAAAAAAAAAAAAAAAAGAAGATGAAATTAATTTATATTTTTTTCTCCAGAGAAAAATCTGGAATTTATTATTATTATTATTATTATTATTATTATTATTATTATTATTATTATTATTATTATTATTATTATTAATTAAATTATTCACGCCTTTCCGATTCGTAAGACGTTTAAATAACGCGACGGTTTTTTTTTTTTTCCTCATTAGTATGCTTATTTGCGTTCGCGTTTACGAATTTTCTTACTTTAAATTTAATAAAAACAGTTTTGTTTGTAATCTATAAAAGAACATAAACAACAACAACAACAACAAACGCGCTTTTTTTTTCTTAAAAATAAAAATGCGATTTTATCATTATTATTATTATGTACGTAACAAAACCATAACGCAAAACTATAATTTACGATTACGACGTTCCATAGTAAACGTTCATATTATCCATCAACGCTTTCACAAACATAATTATGTTTTAATAATAATAATAATAATAGAAACAAAAAAAAAAATAGTTTGAGTGACTCCGCCGATCGCGTTTATAAAATGAATTTATAGCGCGCGTTTTTTTTTTTTCGATATGAAGTCATTTAAAAAAAAAAAAAAAATTGCTTTTTAACCACTGACTGGATGACATTTTAATTTCACGGTCATCGAAATCGAACCGTATCGATCAATCAATCGATTTCATTTTCTTTTTTTTTTTTTTTTTAATGACGTCATAGCGTCGACATTTATTTAAAAGATGGCGTACGCGTAGTGCGAGACGATCTTTTCTCTTTTTAATTTTTTTAATTTTTTTTTTATTAACGAACAATACTATATATTTACTATAATTTTTTTTTGTACTCGCGTGACGAAAATATTAATAATAATAATAATGATAATGATAATAAAAGTTCAAATATTTGTTCCGGTCGATTTTTTTTTACAAGAAAATTTCATTGATTCCATCGAATGACGGATTTACCCCTCCCCCTCCTCCTTTCTTAATAACCTCCTGGAAAAATTAATTCGATACACAAGCAAAATTAATAAGAGAAATTGATGATGATGATGATGATGATGATAATGATAATAATTTTTTTTCGATTCTACCGCCTGGATAATAATTAACCGTGATTAATAAAAACTGGAGTGAGCGCGAAAAAAAGGAGGATGAGTTTGTGTCGATATACTTTTACACTTCTCACGATCTGAATTTTTTTTTCTTTTTTTTTGGAGGAGGGAGTAGGGAGGGAGGAGGGAAACGGATGAAAAAATTTTTTTAATGGAAAAAAAAAAACAATTAAAAAAAAAAAGAAAATGTCGGAAAAAGTAAAGAGAAAAAAAAAAAGAGAAAGGCGCGAAAGACGTTTTGTTGTTGTTTTTGTTGTTGTTGATTTTGGAATTTAAACGATTCTAATGACTATTTCCATTAATTTATAAATAAAAAAAACATCGATATTTTTCGATTTATCGATAAATAAATCGCGGGAAAATAAAAACGATTATTAGAGTTATCGAATCGTTTTTTTTTTTTTTTTTTTAAATCGTGAATATTATTATTATTTATCAGAAGGAGAGAAAGGAGGAAGAAGAAAGCAAAGCTGCTAGAAGCTGCTCGGCTTTCCGTTTCGAATTTGTCCTCTTTCTCTCTCTCTCTCTCTCTCTCTCTCTCTCTTTCGATTTTTTCTCCAGCCTACGTTTAAATAAATAAATTTTTTGCTATCGTTCGCATAGTTTAATTTTACTTTCCAGGTCAATTTAATCGAGTTGGTTTGGAAAAACGTGAAAACTTTTTAATTTTCCCGTTTGTAAAAACAAACACAATCTACAATCGATTCGATTGCGTAATTTCAAACGATTTTTTTAAATCCCTTCTGGAGAAAATAAATTTACAAATCGTGACGCTTTATCATTTGAAATATTCAAATCTGGAGAAAAACTCTAAAGAGATTTTTTTTTCCAAAATTTAGCATTAACAATTTCCAACATTTTTTATTTTCCAAAAAAAAAAGAAAATTTCAAATAGTAATTTAATACTAATTTCCGGTAAGTAAATATTATTTTAATTGAATTAATTATTCGCTTATCAATCACTAACAACAATTGATACGCGACCCCGCCAAAAAAAAAAACTGGAAACCTGGAATTTCCTTTTAATAAAAAAAAAAAAAAAAAAAGAAAAGAAAAGAAAAAATTTATTCGAATCCATTAAAAACTTGTAATTTTATCTCGACCATAAAAAAAAAACTTATCAAATTTTTTTATTCTGACTACTTTGCGGTTAAAAATGATAAGGACAACCACAACGACAACAACAACAACAACAACAACAAAAAATTTACCACCTTCTGTAATCGAAACTGTGTCTTTTTTTAAATATTCCCCCCCCGCACCGCCTCTTCCTCGCTCTCGTTTCAAGTTTTCCTTATTTTTCTAAAAATAAATTCCAAAGTGACATCAAAAAAAAAAAATTAAATTAAATTAAATTTTTTAAAAACCATTTCCGGTATTGGTTTCCGTATTCGGTTATCCCCCTCTCCTCCCCTAAAAAATTTATCAATTTACGAAATTATTATTATTATTATTATTATTATTATTATTATTATTATTATTATTATTATTATTATTGTTGTTGTTGTTGTTGTTGTTGTTGTTGTTGTTGTTGTTGTCATCTTTATCGTCCGCCATTTTTAAATTACTTTTAGCAATTAATTTTAAACGCAAATTTCTCCCCGAAATTGTTTGTTTTTTTTTCGTATTATCACGTGACAATAACACGTGTCACCTTATCAGAGAGAGAGAGAGAGAGACTAAAAATTAATAAAACGATTTGAGAAAAAAAAAAAATTTATGCCACGACATAATAAATAAAAAGTAAAAGAAAAAGAAAAAAAAAAAAGGAAACAAACGGACGCAATTTTTCTTTTTCTTTTTTTTTTTTTTTTTACAAAACGTTTAAAATTCTTACGCAGTTATTTAAATGCAATAATAATAATAATATACGCCACGATGTTATAGATCTGATTTAAAAAAATGCCACAAACTCCAAATTGAGAAGTGATACTGATCTCCCCCCACCACCCAGAATGACAAAAAAAAAAAAAAAAACATTAGAGAGAAAACAACCGAGTCTTGAGAATTTTTACACCGAAAAGGGGGGGGGGGGAAACGTTTCGAATTCAGGACCGTAACAAAGATAAAAATTAATATTTTTTTATTTCCTCCCCCCTTCCCTTTCCTTCCCTATTTTTTTTTCAAATATTTAAAACAATTTAAATACGTGATTTTCATATTTCAAAAAAAAAAAAAAAAAAATATTTCAAGACGATCACGACTCGGAAAAAAAAAAAAAAAATTGTTTTTCCCCCACGATTATTATCATCATCATCATTATTATTATCATTATCGTGGTCAACGTTTATCTAATTTAATGTTATTTTCCTTTTAACCATGGCAAAAATTAATGAATTTATATATATATACATATATAGTTTCGTAATAGCAAAAAAAAGAAAAAAAAAAAAAAACTAAAACAAACGGTTCTTGACTGTTTGTTTATTTGTTTGTTTTTTTAAAAAACGTGAAAACATTTTTTGCACGAGCTTAAAAAATATTTTGTACTCGTTTATTTTTTTTTATTGTAATTTAATTTCGGCCATTTTGAATTTCACTCGTTAAAAAAAAAAATAATAATAAAAATAAAAAACCTACTTTTAATTTTTTTTTTTTTGGTTTTTTCATCTAAACTGACGGAGGAATTCCCGGGGGAAAAATAAATAATATTTTTATATAAAAATAAATTTTTTTTTTTCCACGATCATCATCCCCTCTCCTTTCCTCTCCCCATCTTTTTTTCTCTCTCTCCCCCCCTTCCCCGTTTTTTCGTCCTACATAAATTTCATTTAA